ATCTGGGAAAAGACATAATGAGAACCTGGACTAGTTATATATTTGTTTGTTTTCACCTTGTTCCAGAGAAAAGTGACGGTAACATCCAAAGATACATAAATATAAAGGGCATAAAATAAATGTGGAGCCAATGAAAAATGAAAAACAAGGATCACAAGACTCCATTTGGGGTGGAGCCACAAATCAAGAGTTAAAGATAAATGCTCTACATATTTGTTACTGATTGCCTAAGAGAAGTACAACTCACTCTTCTCAGGATTGACATGAGATAGGAACATCTCCTGAGTGAAAGGAGGTCTCTGTGAAGTCATGAGTAACATCCCTGATCATCTCTTTTTGGCTAGCTCTCTGCAGATCTGGTTTGATACAGGGTTAAATTTCATCTTCAAGCCATCCTCCCTTCATATTGCTTTTCTGGGCTGAACTCTTATAAAAACTGGATGGCCCAAAGCTGGAAAGGGCTCCAACTAAAAAGAGTCTCATGTTACTATGTGCTGCCATTAATCACAGGTCTTTTTGTCTTAGTAGATGAGCAAGTTGGAGAAAGGACTGATCTCTTTTCTAAAGGTTGAGGATGGCTCTTCATAAGGATGGCGAAATACAAAAGAAAACCTTCTCTACTGGAAGTGAGCCAAGGGAGGGCATAAAGGTAAGGCAGTTCCTAAACAGAGGCAGAGGTGATGAGGATGGAGAAGAGAAAAGATGTCTGAGAAATATTTCCAAGGGACAATTAATAGAACTATTCACTAATTGGATATGAAAAATGGGGGTGGGGGGAGAAAGTAGAGTTGAAGTTGCCTTCAAAGTTCCTTGCTTGGGCACTTGAATGAATGGTGGTGACAGAAGAAACAAAATAAGAAAGAATAGGTAGGATTTCTGGAAAGCATGATTAAATCCAATTTTGATAAAGTAATATTTGAAGCAAGGTGTTCTGGAAGCAGTTAAAAATAGGCATCTAAAGCTCTAGTGAGATGTCTGGAATGAAATGATAAATTTATAAATTGCTGACCTCTTGAAAGCACCTAGAGACCTGTTAGTGCCCCAAAACATCCTGGGAAAACCCAGAGAGTGAAAGAAAAGAAGATGAGGGTGGGGAGAAAACAGGTGGAGACGTCCAAGGGGAGTATACTAGAGAATAAACAGTGAGAGTTTGGCAGATGACAAAGAGCTAAGAAAGGGCTCAAGAAAATAATTCAGAAGTTGAGAACTTCCAGGGGAGAGTGGTATTGCAGAAGCCCATGGAGGAAGAGGAGGAGGAGGAGGAAATGGCCAGCTGAGCCAACAAAGTTTTCAGGGGGGGTAAAATTCAAAAAAGATGCCACAGGGATCATCAGTAATGTTAGTTACAATAGTTTCTGTGGAAGTTATCTAGAGATCAGCTCTAGAGGCGTGATTCATGGTGGATCACAAAGGAGTGGAGGAAGCATGGGTGGGCTACTCATACAAGAAATCCGACACTGACATGAGGAACGAGGATAAGGCAGTAACGTGAAGAAGAGGTAGAGTCAAGCAAACATTTTTGGTTGACAGATGTTATCCAAATAAAGTGACTTACAAATAAGTCTGTGAAATTCCCTCTTAAATCCAACCAACTAGCATTTCTATCTTCATAAGAAAGTAGCTTTATGAGTTAGGGAAGCAATAAGTTGCAAATGAAGAAACCAACCTAATGTGCTGACTTTAAGGAAGAGGGATTTATTTGTCTCACATGACAAGAACCCCAGAAGTACAAGTTAGGGCAGAGGCAGTGCTTCGACAATGGAATCAGGAACCCACACTCTTACTATCTTTCTGTTCTGCCACTTGTAACTCATGGTTACAAGATGATTGCTGCACCTTGGGGCTGCTTTGCAGAAAGGAAAAGAAGAAGGAAGGGCAAAGAGTAAAAGGGAAATGGCTACTGAGTCCATCTCTTTTTCTCAGTAAAGGAAAAACTTTCTCAGAAACCTCACTCAATTACTTCTGCTTGGTTTCCGTTGGCCAGAATGGTGTCACATAACCACCACGAGCTAGAAGGTGACTAGGTAAAAGGGAGTTACGCAGAAAAGTTAGGTCAACCCTCACTATCACTCACAAAGAGTGTCTGTCACCCTAGTGAATGATGAAAACCAGATAAACCACCAAAATGGAGACAAAAATATAAAATCTGCCTGATAAAAAAAGACAAGGATAATTTTATATGCCTCTGCCATCTACCTACTCGATGAAGAGCGCGCCCAGAGACAGAGTTGAGGAGAGTTTGTGTTCTTGCCTTGACCCCGGCAAAGAGAAGATCACTATCCCAGACCCCAGCTTTAAACCATATACTCTTAGACAACGCCTCGTACTCATCTACTTGTTGTAGACATCTAAAAACCCATGGGTACCACCACTCCTATTTCATAAAGGTCGATCTCCAGGCTTAATTATTATCTGTGTCAACATTATTCCTGACCTATTCAATATCTAAGTAGATGATCTTTCTAAGAGGCTGGACTCTTAGTTCCTTGACCTCCTTCCCTCCGATGATCTTACCCTCCACCCTCACTTAGATCCGCTTTCTCAAGGCCATACTTTAACGCAGTCCTTACCAATAGCTGCAACGCTTCCGTAATCTCTATTTTAACTATCCTACTCTCTGTCCCTTACCTCCTATTTTTCCAGCTCTCTCCCTCTAGTGCTTTAACTCTGAAAATTGTTCCACTGCACTAGAACCAATAATCTACTGGGTTCTACCTTTTTACCACCCCAACCTCCTTCACACACTCATTCCTTTACTTAAATTCCATCGTTAATCAGTTATTGCCTTGGATCTACCCTCAGTTCTCTTGCTCTGTCCTCCCTTTAACTTACTTACATGACAAAACCCAATCTTGACTGAATCTAACTCCCTACCTACTTCAGACCTGTACCCAAAGAGTTGAATATAACTGAAGAAAAATATAACATTTTGAATAGATTCATCTTAAATGCTAACTTAAGCATTTAAGATGAATCTAACTAATACCAAGGGGGCCCTGAATGCTGCTTGGCAATCCTACTGCATCTTGCTGTTCCATTCACTCTTCCACAATGCTAGACAACCATGCAACACTTTTCCTCGCTTTTCAAATCTCTGACCTCTTCTCCCTATCCATTCTCATTTATAGTTGATTACCATTCTTCTTATTTCTCTTAAGAAAATGGTGGAAATCAGAAGAGAAATTCCACATGTTTCAATACCACTTCTCCCTGTAATAGTCTGCCCTTATTCTCCACCTTCCCACCTGTGACTATAGGAGAACTCTTCAGGTCCTGTTTAAGGGCCTCTGGTCTCCCTCTAGTTGTTACCAGTCTTGTCTACCCGAAGACATTGCTTTGATTATGGCCTCCATCTTACCTCAGTAATCCACGTGACCTCTTTTTAAAATCATTCCTATCAGTGTCCACATATGTTGAAAGTTCCCCCATCTCAAAAAAACAAAAAAAAAAACAAAAAAATTTTGATCCTCATATCCCCCTCCAGCTATCATCTGAATATTCTGTTTCCCTTTGAGGGAAATACCTGAAAGGAGTTTCCTCTTCCCATTGTTTGCAATTTCCCTCTCCTTATTCTTTCTTGAACACATTCCAATAGGACTTTTGTTCCAGTCATTTGGCTAAAAATCTCTTCTAGGTCACCAGTGAGTTCAAAGTTGCTAAATCCACAGTCAACTCAGGCCTCATGTTACTTGACCTATCAACTGCATGTAACAGGTAATAATTCCTCTTTGACATTTTCTTCCCTTGGGTTCAGGGACATCAAACCCCCTACTTCCCTCCTGAATCACTGGCTGCTCTTCCTGGCTGATTCCTTCTCTTCCTTGCAAATCCTAAACATTAGGTCACCCCCTGATGGTAACAGCCATCAAAACTCATCTCTTTTCTACGGGTACCCCTTTCTAGGATAACAGTCTCATCTGGTCACATAGCTTTAACTGCAGGTATAGACTGATGATTCCCAACTTTGCAATTCCAGTCTGGACTGCCCCCCACACTTCCAGATTTCTACTTCTAGCTACCTGTATGACATTTCCACTTGGATATGCAGCAGGCATTTCAAACATAAGATATCCAAAAACTAAATCTGATCTTCCCCAACCTCCTCCCTGGCTCCCCTGCACACTTCCCTACCTCAGATGAAAGCAACTTCATCCTTCCAGTTGCTCAGGACAAAAAACTCATGGTCATCTTTGATTCCTTCCCCCCGACCCCCCCGTCCCCGACCCATGTTCATATCTAATCCATCAGCAAACCCGGTTAGCTTTGCCTTTAAAATCTCTCTGGGTTGTGTCCTCTTCCCATTACCTCCATTGCTACTACTCTGGTTCAAGCGGCCATCACATCTTACCTGAATTACTGTCCTAGCTTCCTAACTTATCCCCTGATCCCAACCTGGTCCATCTTTAGTCTATACTCACCATGGCAGCCAGAGTAAACATTCATTATCTCTCTCAGAGTAAAAGCTGAAGTCCCATAGTAGCTTAAAAGCCCTGCATCCAGAATTCTGAACCTTCTTTGTAGATGTGAATCTCTTTGGCAGACAGTTGAAGTCTATATATTCCTTCTCAAAATAACATTTTTAAGTGCATAAAATAAAAGACATAGGGTTAAAAAAGAAACCAACTATACTGAAATACAGTGAACAAAAATTAAATAAGTCCAAATTTGTGATATGTTAATACATGAGGTTCTTTATTACATTAAATAACAATACTTAGCAGGCCCTGAGTAAGAGTTTTTGCTCTGGACAATCTGGTCCTTCCTACCTCTCTGAACTCAGTTCCCACCACTCTCCTCCAACCATTTGGCTAGAGCCACCCCGGCCGTTTTGCTGGTCCATCAAGCATGCTTCTGCCCCAGAGACTTGGCATTTGCTGTTCCCCAAATATCTGCATGGGTTATTCCTGTCCCTCCTTCAGGTCTCTAATCAAATGTCACCTTGCCAGTGATGCCTTCCCTGGCCACTCCATTTAAAATGGCAACTCTCCCCCATACACATACCTTGGCTCAAAATTTCCTGGTCTATTTTCTTCGTAATATTTTCACCACCTAAGAGATAGAGAGATAGATAGATAGAGAATGCCCTGGTTAATTTTTTTATTGTCTATTCATGCATACATAAACATAAATATAATTTCTATGAGGGCAGGGATTTTTATCAGTTTTGTTTATTGCTGTATTTATAGCAACTGGCACATTATTGGTACTTAACAAATATTTATTGAAAGGACAAATAAATAAAATGAATTTCTCCCTTCCAGATGGGTGACTCTGAGGGCTGCCTCCTTCTGAGCCAGGCCTCAGGCAGTAGCCGTGCTCAGAGAAGTGACTGCTGACTTTGCCCAAGGTTTTGTAAGATCAAAATATCCATTGTCATATAGTCCCCCAAATGAAGCTGATTACTTTGAAAGCCACACCCTGGCTGCACAGGCACTAGACTGAGTCCTTGACTTGGGTGTTTGACCATCTGGCCACTTCCCCTGGTGCTAAAGAATGGCCTGGCCATGGCTATTCTTTCTCATGTCAGAGCCTTTTAAATAAAGTTCCACTCCAGAGACCCAATATGAAAGGAGAGGAAAGAAAACTCGGTGATAGATAAGATACTACAAGAGACTGTCAGAATCTTCACAACAGAATAAAATAATGCTCAGGGTACTGTCGATGAACACAACCATGAAAGAGCACACCATTTTCTTAACTGGGGCACCATCCAATCTACGTACAGTGGCACAACATATTTCTCCTCCAAAAATGCCAATTTCAAACTATGACTATTGATCTCTATCTAACCCTGAAAATTAATGATCCCAAAGAGAAAAAGTGACATTGAATCGTTGGAGGATTTCAGACAATAAAAATAAAACTAAAGGGGCTGTGGTAAGTTCTAGACTTGATAAGTGTGCATGTCACAGTTTTAATGCATTGTGTCGAGCATAACATATAGAATTAGAACTAACGGGTTTTGTTTGTTTTAGTTTAGTGGGGCTTTTGTTTTGTTTTACTTTGAATCACTTCCATTTGAAGGCTCCATGGAGCTTCTAGATTCTTAATCACCCCAGCCTCTTCCTTGGGTTCCCTTAGCTACTTTCTGTAGCCACGATTCTGAGATACTTTAGTATTCCCTTTTGTATATTTTCAGCCTCCCAGCACCTGTTTAACTACATCCTTATTAAATTCTATTTAAATGAGGAAAGATGTACTGTGCTTGCCTTACATTGATGACAAAAATCTGTACATCAAAGTTCAAAATATGTGATAAACATGTTTCTATAGCAGGTTTGCCATGGGCAGAGAGGATCCTCGATTTGTGTGTCTGGTGCTCTTGTTGGATGTCCTTCATGCAAAAGTCAGGTCGTTTTTAAGAATCTCAAGATTTGAGATTCGAACCTATTGAGTGGCATTTCCTTCCTGCGGAACACACAGAGACAACTAGAACTGCTCGGGGTCTTGGTCTGTCATTAAAACGGTCACCAACCCCGGACGGAATACTTAGGATCTCCTGCCAATTCTAAGAAATGTCTTAGAAACGACCTGGAAGAGAAGACAGCCCAGCAGTGATGCTATTGCTTTGCTGCAGAGGATATAGAGCATAGAAGTGGCCCATTCATTGGATCAAGCACCACGGAGACCAGAAAGAGTCACAAAGAAGAATTTCCGCGTGGGTTTAGGAGCAAGAGGATCTTCAGTGATCTTAGTAAGTGTGGTCTCTGTGGAGCGGGGGTGGCAGAGGCTGGTGTGGACAGACTCCAGGAGTGAGTCAGGGCAGGTTTTTGATGCATCATTTCATTAGTGCTTGGGAGTAGCTGCTAGGCAGGTGGGGAGCCCTCTGGGGTCCGCTAATGCTGACCTCCGGCGCTCTTGTGGGCACTGACTGCAGTTTGTGCACAACCTGGGGCAGGAGCTGAGTCTGATAAGAGGCCTGGGAAATCATATTCTCCTCCACTCAAAACTTCCCATAAGAGTCTACTACAAAGCATTTTTCCCTCCACTCCCAGTGGCCCAAAGCCAGCTGTTGCCCTAGAATTGTTCAGGACTATTCTTGCTTTCCTAACTACAAAAAGTATACAAATGCATCCTAACAGCACAGAGAGATTTTCTCATCCCTGTTGCTCTGGTAGGGAAAGGAGATGGATTTCCTCGATCATGTCTAATCTCACAGAGGAGGGGCAATGCCTGGGGCTCAGAGTTCGAATGGGGGGTGGCTTACATCCTGGCTGGGCCCAAAAACTTGCTGAAATTCTCTGACCTCCAGTTTCTTCATCTAGATTATAAAAGAGATGATGGTATTTTCCCCAAAGGGCTGCTGTGGGAAATAATTAACCAAGCATCTAGTATGGAGTCTGGCCTGGAGTAGATCTTTGGTCCACAGGAGGCAAGTTAGTTGTTTTCAGGAGCTTATTTAAAAAGTCATTAGATTGCATAATTCTCTCTCTCAAAATTCCTTCAAAGAAAATAAATATTTAAACTCCGTTTTGGATGCTCTGGGGAGATTTGCAAGTAGTTGGAAGATCTTATCTTTCAGGAAAACCTTCTGATTATGCATTAGTTCATTCTCCCTACCAACCCCCCCCCCACCAGGGTTCTGTCTGTGACTGCTCTCCACGGATTTCTGGGTTTAGAAGAATTCAGGAATTTTGGGAGTTAACTGAAAGAAATGAGGGCAACCCTTCAGGGCAGAGGCCCCACTCCCTCTGCCATCCTTGGGGTCTTCAGACTACATTTGGAGGTGCACAGACTTCAGAGCTGTGATGGACATGTGCAATTTTGCTCTCCAGAAACTTTCCCCTCTCCTCCTGCAAAGGCCCTGATTTATTGGGATTATTTATGTGGAGGTGGGATTTGCTTGTAGTGGGGCATCTTCCCTGATTCTCAGCCCCACGGGCTGTGGGATTCCAACCACACCTTATATGCTTAAACCAATGGGATCATGGCCCTCTCTCGGGTCACAGAGATTCATTCGGGAGTGTGCATGTGACCTAAGTTGGTTTCTTCTGGTGAATTTCAGGGATTTGACAAGAAACTCTGGGTCAAAATCTTTGCTCTTCTCTGATGGGGTTGGCCTTGTGATGGGATAAACCTGGAGTTTCTGGGGGTATGAGGTGGAACCTGGGAAAAAGTCTGACACAGGAAGGGGCAGGATCAAGATGAAAGAAATTTCAACTCCAAATCAAGTCATAAGCGAAATCAGCATCTGAGTTTTCAATGGCCAGAGACCGTAAATTCTCCATTGCGCTGAAGCCAGGTCAAGCCTGGATTTTTATCACTGGCAAAATTTGTGACTGCTACTTGAGGAAACCTCAGAGTATTTGAACAAGTACTTATCAGAAGAGATAAAATCCTGACCCTCCCGGAACTGCTACAAAACTTATGATTGATTTCTCTTAGACACTACATTCTACACACCTGCCAAAGGAAATCCTCCGTTGGCTGCCTCCAACAGAGAAATGGTAAAGAAAGCAAAAATGTGATTTAAGTAAAAAAAATCCACATAAATTCATAAGGTACTTCCCCACAAGCTAAACTACCATGATCATTTTGCAGATAAAGTCTGATAATAACAATATACTCAATAATGAAAACAACAATAAAGCCTTGTAACTACCAATAACATTCCAGGTGGTGTCAACAAATAATACATTATATGTTAATAAAAAAAAATATTCCAGGGGGTATGAGGGCCCAGGTATTTTCAGTGAAATGCCTCATCTATGACAAAAGTAGACCCCTCCCCCCATTCCTGCCTTGAGCAAAGCCTCTTTCTTAGGAGCTTTCTGAGGGCACCGAGTGATACCAGTCTGCAACCTACAAAGGGTTGCCTTGGTGGCAGTCCAGATGCTAACTGCCTAGAACAGTAAGTGAGTCATAATTTGTACCAGAGATGTTGCAGTAATTACAATACAATGAAAAAGCCAGAGCTTTTAATTGTTTCCATGTCAGGATAGACCTTGGGCTTATGGGCTAGAAGCTAAGAAACTCAGCCAGCAGCAGGCTCAAAATCTGACATCCCTGGCTCTTTGTCATCCACATTTTTGCCCCGAGGGCCAACCAGGTAAACTGTCTACGGAGGCAGGGCAGTCTCTGGCAGATTCCAGCTGGGTTCTGTGTGAAACAGAAGCAGACGCTTCCTTTTCTTCTGAGTGTTGTATGTAACAGGTACTACGGGGAAGGAGACACTGAGGCTGGCCAGTGGCAGAAGGTTAAATGAGGCCGATGGGGTCCTCCCTGCAAACCCAGCCATTCTCAGGAATGTGCCTTCCCATCACACTACCTGGGAAGATGCCCATGGCAAGAGAGAGAAATCTGCCTGTCTTCCCTTCTCTCTCTCTTTCTTTCTCTCTCTCCCTCCATCCCCCTTCTCTCTCTTTCTTTTTCTTTCTCTTTCTTTCTTTCTTTCTTTCTTTCTTTCTTTCTTTCTTTCTTTCTTTCTTTCTTTCTTTCTTTCTTTCTTCTTTCTTTCTTTCTTTCTTTCTTTCTTTCTTTCTTTCTTTCTTTCTTTCTTTCCTTCCTTCCTTCCTTCCTTCCTTCCTTCCTTCCTTCTTCTCTTTCTCTCTTTTTTACCTCTGAAGGATCTGGAAATTTTCCTTAAGGAGTTCTGGCAAATAAAAAGTAGACTTCCTAGAATTCTACTAATAGCTTCCACCACTGATTTTTTTTTCCTGTATCAGTTAGGGTTTTTCAGTTATAAGCAACAGACACTGATTTTGGATAGCAAGCAAAACAGATTTTATTGTAAGGATATGAGAGAGCTTACAGAATTGAAGGAAAAACTAAAGACTCAAGCATGACAAAGTTAAGAAACAGAGTAAGTCTGGGATCCAGGTAGGAAATATGAACTTTCTTTTTAGGGTTCTGCAAGGAACCCACTTTCCTTTGTTGCAATAACTGGCCTAAAGAGTAAAATTCCTGGGTGAGAGAATTCAATGGGCCTAGCTTGGCTCAACTGCCATGGACTTGGATCTCAGGGTCCCTTGACAGACAGCTCCACCAAGACTGCTCTCAATAGAGGAGGGTGAGTTGCCAAGGGGTCATGAGGAAAAGGAAAATGGCACCTGGGTGGACAAAAAAACCAATAGATGCCACATACAGTGCCTTTGATCAGGCTGCCTCCTCTTCCTGGAATGCCTTCCCCACTGCAGACTCTAGTCCAGCTCAGACATCACCTCCACCAGGAAGTCTTCCCTGACTCAAACACATACCCTCCCTAGCTGCTGAGTTAGACATCCCACAGTCTTCTGGATTCCCTTCTCTTACTGTTCTTAAAACACTGGAGTGTGGGCACCTGGGTGGCTCAGTCGGTTAAGCATCTGTCTTCAGCTCAGGTCATGATCCCAGGGTCCTGGGATCAAGCCCTGCATCAGGATCCTTGCTCAGCGGGGAGCCTGCTTCTCCCTCTGCCTGCCACTCCTCCTGTTTGTGCTCTCTCCCTCTCTCTCTCTGTCAAATAAATAAAATCTTAAAAAAAAAAAAACACTGGAGTGTAATTCTCTGAGTATGTGACTTTCTTGAGAAAAGAAACAATTTATTATTCAATCTTCTATGCTTAGCACCTCACACATAGTGGGCACTCAACAGATGTCTTTTGGATGATCAGTTGAAAGGAAAAATGGGCCAGTGATGAATCTGATACTTTGTAGAATCTGGACTATTTTGACTTTAAGTTATAGCTATATCTTTATATAGGCAGAAGGATTCAACTATATCAATCCAATAACTATCATCTTCAAAGCAGTATCAATACAAAATTTAAAGGATTTGTTGCAGCTTTTGGAGCATAGAATATAAGTACCTGTTTATTTTGTACTCAATAACTAGTAAAGCAGACACTTAGTAAACACACCAGGTGAAATAAATTAAATCAGAATAATTCACCTCAAATAGCTGCTGTCGCCTGTTACTCTTTCCAGTGAAGGTCTAATTCATTGAACATCAATCATGCTTTCCCATTCAAGCTCATCTGAAAATGCCCACAAATTTATAAAAGAATTTGTCAAGTGAGCTTCATGTGGGTGCTTCTTGGTTAGGAGGGTGCAGGTGCACAGGACCTGGTTGGCTCCCTCGAGCTGTGGGTTTAGGGAATGCTGAGAAAACTGGTGCTCGCTCAAAACTGAGGTAGGGACTAGTGAGCAAGTCGGATCCTCCTCCCCTCTCTGGCTGGCCGTCCCATGCAGCAGAAGCATGTTTTCAACCTTCTTCTCAAGAATGGGTTAATCCTTACCTTGGTAAGGCTGGGAAACCCTGGGTGTGGCCTTGAGCTCCTAGGTCAGGTCTGCGATTCCTCTAGAGTGTGCCTTTGTGCAGATACAAAAAGGAGATGCCTACTATGCGGTCAGATTATGCAGGCTCCTGAATTAGCAGGTGGTGCCTACTCTGGATGGGTGCAAATGTGCAAGATGTGCAGTCCCGTATCGAGGGGCATTGCTCAGGGAGCAGAGCAGGGACTGCGGTTCGGACCCCATTTGGCCAGCACCTTTGGGAAGCGAAAGGATTGCTCACCTATACACGGCATCCCTGCTGTAGGTGAGCCCTTTCTCCAAAGAGAGCATGATGCAGACTGAAACCAGGTACTACAAATCCAGAAGGCACTCTAGGGAATTAACAGGTCCCATTACACACTATCTTTTCAGAGACCTAACTGGGAAAGCCATAAGGAAGGACAGCCTCAGCATCAAGAAAGGGAACCCAGGGGCGCCTGGGTGGCTCAGTCCTTGAGTGTCTGCCTTCGGCTCAGGTCATGATCCCAGGGTTCTGGGATCGAGTCCCGCATCTGGCTCCCTGCTCAGCAGGAAGCCTGCTTCTCCCTCTCCCGCTCCCCGTGCTTGTGTTCCTTCTCTCGCTTTGTCTCTCTGTCAAATAAATAAAATCTTAAAAAAAAAAAAGGGAACCCGTTCTTTTAATTTTAAAATGCCAAACATATGGGAAAGCATAAACATCTGTGTATTACTATCAACAGCCTAGATTTAATAATAGCATTTTATCCTATTTTCTTCAAATCTCATTGAAGCCCCCCTCACAAACCACTACGATCCTCTTCTCTTTCCATCTCCAGACTGTCCTCCAGTTGGTATCTGTTCTGCCCATGCTCATATTTCATACTTTCTATGTATTTTTACACAAACAAGATATACGTGTTTTTTTAAAAAAATATGATTTAGGTGTACCTATATAATAAATACATATAAGCGACATATATTATACATAAATATATAATAAGTACATAGTATAATGTAACATATAGTATAAATATATAATGTGAACAATGTAAAGTTTGGTGTCTTTTCATATTTTTATCTAAATGGTATCATATAATTCAAACCCTTCTATAGTTTGTTATTTGCATGCCACTGTCATCTCTCAGAGATTGATCCATATTGGTACATGTAGCTCTATCTCATTCATTGTAACTGCTGCATAAGATTGCATTGTATGACTAATTCACAACTTACTTGTCTACCCTGTTCTGGATGGGCATTAATTCATTCCAGCTTTTTGTCTTTACAATGATGCAATGATCATTCTTGTGCCTGTTACTTTGTATACATGTGTAAGACATTTTCTAGGATATGCACTTACAAGTAGAATTTCTGGGTCTTGGGATATGCACTTCTTCACTTTTGAGAGATATTGCCAATGTGATCTCTAGAGTAGTATTCTCAACTTGCACTCTAACCAGCAATATGTGAGGTGTGTTTCCCCAGAGCCTCATCAAAACTGGTTTTATCAGATAATATCATTTTGGCCAGGCTCATGGGTATAAAATAGTATCACACTATGGTTTTAATTTGAATTTCCCTTGTTATTAGTGAGATTGAGTTTCTTTTTCTGAGTGTCCAGTTCATATTATCTGTCCATTTTTCTTAGATTATCTTTTCTTAGTAAGTCATACGACTTTTTAAAAATAAATTTTATTAAAAATTCTTTGTTGATTATAAGCATTATATTTTTTCAGTCTCAAGCTTGTACTTTAACTTTGTTTGTTGTGTCTTTGTTGGTACAGAAGTGTAATATTTTAATATAATATTATTATTATAATATTATATTTTAATATAATATTTTAAAACCTCTTCCTTTTGGTGTGTGCCTTTTGAAACATAAACCCCTATGTTTAAAAGTTCCCTATATTTCCTCCTTAAAGTTTTAACCTTTCCCTTTCATATGTACATCTTAATTCCATCTGGAATTTACTTGCATCTAAAGTGTGAGGTAGGGATTTCCTGTTTCCATCAATCATCCCGGCACTTGAACTAATTCTTCCTCTCTGTAGATTTGTATTTCCGTCTCTGTTGTGAACCAAGTTCCCATGTGTTCATGAGTCTGTTGTGGAGACGATTCCATCAGTCTATCTGTCTCTTCCTGCACAAATACCAAACCCTTTCATTACTTTCAGGAAAGGCAGCTTCACTGATACCTGAAATGATGTCATTCTTTGGGTGAGATGTGAACACCTCCAGGGAGGGCAATGCTCAAATCAATGACAATGTGATGTACATATCTTGCTTGGATTCCTTCCAATCTGCCAATCCACTGAGAGAAGTGTTGACAGAGAAAATCAGAAAAAGATCCAGGGCACTCAAGGCTTCCAGAAAGGAGAAAGAAGACAGATTTAGATAGAGAGGCTCTTGGGCAGGAAACAAAAAGAAGATATCTCTAATTACTCAAGTTTTTTCTAGGCTTGGCCTTGAATGTAAATACATTTGTCCAGAAATATGGTACTTCGATATATAAATGTGCCCCCATAGCATTACTGGCCAACTCTTCCCATAAAATCATAGCCAGAATCATAGCTCACATTTACTGACACATGGGCTAAACACTTGATAGGCATTATTTCATTCAATCCCATAACATGGGTAATTTCCTTGAAATATACACAAGAAAATTGAAACACAGAGAAAGGAAGTGACTTGTACAAGATCATACAGCCTGGTGAGTGGCAAAACTCAGCTTATGTTCCTTGCTACTAGATTACGCGGCCCTTCATGTTGCAGAATGTTCCACACTAGAATGGGATTATCTATTTTTGAGGGGAGGGAGTGAATCTTATTTCACCATTACATCCTCAACCCAAGCACTGTGTTAGTCATACAATAGGCTCTCCATCAATATTTGTAGACAAGAATGAATAGATGCATGTTGTCTGTGGGGTCTGCGGTTTCTGAGTCATGAAAGGCTTAAGCGGTTTACTTAGTAGGCTGGGGGAGAAGAATCTTCACCTTACTTCCTCTGAAAGCCACGCCAAACCTCTTTGCTACTTACCCTCAAATGATGGCCTGAGTTACAAACACACAGCAATGTACTTCTTCCTATGTCGATCCTGGAAATGTACAAATAGTGTTGGGAATGGGGGCACACAAAGGTCTGTACAAGCCATCCTTCCAGCTTGGACATTGGCTTCCAACCTCTAGAAACCTTCCCATTTCCCAGATACGTCAGCATCGCTGGCTTGGTTTCTCAGCAGAAACAATACAACTTGGGGCACCTGGGTGGCTGTCGTTAAGCGTCTGCCTTCGGCTCAGGTCATGATCCCAGGGTCGTGGGATCGAGCCCCGCATCGGGCTCCCTGCTCCGCCGGAAGCCTGCTTCTCCCTCTCCCTCTCCCCCTGCTTGTGTTCCCTCTCTCACTGTTTCTCTCTCTGTCAAATAAATAAATAAAATCTTAAAAAAAAAAAAGAAAAGAAAGAAACAACACAACTTTGTCTCTTCACAAGGCTATGTGCTAAATCTGAAAAGTAGCTTGCAGCTCAACCCCACAGAGGCTGTTGCTGCCGTGGGGATTCCCAGCCAGTGCAGAGGTCCCTGCTGCTCAGTGGAGTTCCCCAACATGAGATGTAAGTGGGCCATAGAACTCACTGGTCTCTGGTCTCTGGTCTCTTGGGGAACATCACTACCATGACATCTCCTCTGGTGAACTGGTTTTGGGGAAAGCATCTGCAAGGAAGGGGCAGTTGTCATGTGTTAGGAGATAATTTCAGAAGGCCTGAGTCTCTCCCCAGACTCTGTAGAATTAAATGGATTGATTGGTGATGACTTCATAGCAGGTAGGCTTCTAGCTTCCACCTCCTTGGATCACCCTGTTTACCATCTCTGAACTGAGCTCAACCTCAGAGCCTCCTCAGGACCCACGCTGTGACCCCTGTTCCAGGCATAACCATGTAGGAAGCTTCCCAGTTGAGAAAGTGTCTCAATGTTAACTTCTTTGTGCTAGGAATTCTTATCCACTGTCATAATCATTCACTTGGATTCTGACATTGACTCACAATTCCTCGGAAGCTCTGTACTTTCTGAGTGTTGCCCAGCCATGCGGCTTCCTGACCAATCAGCTGATCCCGGCCTCAGGCGCCACACTCCTTGCCATGGATTCACACACCATCTTGATCCTCCCTGTGACTTGACATGCAATCCCATGGCCTAGAGAAGACCCCTCACTTTAAAAATCCATGCATAGATTTGACAAACATGTCCTGAACACCTCCTATGTTCCAGGCCTTCTTCTAGACATGACAACAATGAACAAGTTCCTGCCTGCAAAGACTTCCATTCTGGGGAGGAGGAAAGAAAATCGATACATAAATAACTAGTGCACATGATCTTCAGTAGTAACGAGCCACAGCAGCAAGAAAAATAAAGTAAGTTTCAAGAATAGGGAGTACCATAGGAAAGAGGAGTCACTTCTGATAAAGGAGCCAAGGAAGAAGGTAACATTTGAACGAGATGTGAATGAATGAGAGAGAAAGCCCCATGAAGATCTGGGGGGTGAACACACCCGGCAAAGCGGGTGAGGTGGAACTGAGTGTGGCAAGATGTGAAGGAACAGAAGGTAGGCCAGGGTGGCCCGAAGAGAGGCGGAGAGGAAGAGAATGGAGGAGACCAGATCGCAAGGAGCAGACCATAGATCACGTGGATATTTGAGGCTGTGCTGAGGCCTTCTGACTGCACTGCAAGTGTGCCGGAAAACCGTCGGAGGGTGGGAAGCAGCAGAATGATAGGACCTGACTGACGTTTTTCAAGCACTGAGGAGGACAGACTGGAGGGCGGGAGAGTGAGAGCAGGGAGCCAGACGGGACTCTACGGCAGCAGAGCGTGTGAGAGATGACGGCGGGGGTGGGTGGAGGGGGCTGTGCTGGCCAGGCGGCGGTGGGGGTGATGACAAGGGGTTGGATCAGCACAGATTCTGTCAGCTCTTCCTGAGCGGATGGATGGAGGATGTGTGGGAACGAGAGAAGTCGAGAATGACTCCCAGGGCTTCCCGCAGTCCTGACCTAGTTTAGAGGTAGGAAATGGGAAAACAAGCACATGAAGATGGGTTCCTCACCAGCCAGTCCTTTGGGAGACCACTCTTCTTGGCCCATTCAACTCCAGCCTGAATCCCCAAGCCATCGACGGGCATCTAACCCGAATTACAGACTTAATCATAGGGAGAGTTGAAAAGTTTCATGCCTATACTCTTTGTAAATTGATCCTGTATATTCCCAGGAAGGCAATGCTAAGGATTCTTGATGCCAGTCTCAGGCCCCTGAAAACCTGGAAAGGACAGTTTGGGTATGGAATAAAGCAGAACAAGGCCCTTGGTGGGCCTGGTATCTCTTCCCCGTCCCTCCAAGTCCAAGCCCATAGCCACAAGCCCACTGCTAATCAATAATGCCATTCTTATTCATTGTGCCTAGATGCCACCTCACTTTCCCTATCAACCACAACACGTCATGCAGCCACTACCAATTAATAACCGATGACTGCCATTCTGGTTCCTGATTGGTCAGAAAGGTTTAGTTCCTCAAGATCAGACAATCCTTCGGTAGCCTTGACAGTCTCCGAGCCGGGACAGCTTTCAGCCACATGATGGATGGAGCGGAAAAGGAAACAGATTTATGAAGCTTTGACCTGGACACCTTACATAGACTGTCTTGTCATGTTGTAGCAGAGTTCATCTTTGGTGACAATGTTAATCACACCCCGGCACACTCAGGCATCCCGGGGCCTGCTGTGGTCACGAACTGCACACGTTCTCCCAAACAGGTCTGGGTTCCTGAATGATTCTGGAGGCCTCTCACCTTTGATTGCCTCCTTCCCAACCAAGACCCCCATTTCCCCATTATCTCTGCACATGATACCAGGAGGTAATAGTTTAAACCACATACATTTATTTCTGCCAGGACATCAACCAGCTGATACGTAATGTCCTTTTCCCACAAAATGATGCCTTCACTCAATAATACCCTTAGGGTAACATGCGCAGAACAGGAATTTCTGGAACTGTGACAGAACTTCTGGGAAGAAAGGTATTTTGGGGCAGGGAGCTTTGAGCCCTCTCACAAGTATGACACCAGATAGACGAGAGTCCAGGAGGGTCGCCATCCATCATTGCAGGCCATAGAAAGCCAGCCCTTTCCAGTTCGTGACCAAAATAAAGGAAGGGAGTCCTACCAAGGGCTATTTTGAATAATCTTTGGGGCAGAAGAAAATTACCATGCCATCCTGACTCTGCTAAAGTTCTCCTACTAACTCTGTACACATAATACCTCAACTTCTAGGTATTATTGGAATTGATTTCATCCACACCAAACTACATGATGAAGAGGCTCAAAAGGGAAATTTCTTAACCGTGTATAGTACTCTGACCACATCCTGCCCAGAAAGGAGGCGCTGGGCTGTGGGTCGCTGTCCAAGGCATCTAAATGCACAGTCCTGTTTTTTTTTTTTTTTCAGTTGTTTATTTTATTTGGGGCTCTGCACTTGGACTTTTGAGAAAATTCTTAAATTTTTTTAACTAACCCTACCCACACAAATAGAATGACTCACCGCAGAGGGGTCTAAGTTGATGTCTGGTAAGGCAGGGAGATTAAACAGCTACTCTAAAAAGCAATGTCCTAAATTATCCCTGTAGCAATTGCTGCTCGGAAGAAAGGCCCAGAGAGAGGGCATCCTGATACTCTTTCATAGATATATCAAAGTCCCAGCAGAAAATAATGGCACACTCAAATTGTGAAGTATGAGGAGAGTTAATGATAAAGAGACTCTTTTCAGAGATGTGGCCAGGGTATGGGGAAAGAAGAAAGAGCATAGCATCTGGGGCTAGCCACAGCAGCCCTCCCTTTACTCTCCCTGGGCTTGAAGAAGCAATGAGAAGGAGCGGTTTCCAAGGAAACAGAGGATTGTGAGGAGAGGGTCCCCAACAGGTGACAGGAGCTATATGACTCACAGTATTAGGATCTGGGCAGTCCACCTTGTCCCCACAGGAAGGGCGTCAGGGGAATAAATAGCCCAGTTTCACACTTGCGTGATTGCCAGATCTCCTGTTGATGCCTCTCACTGGCCGGTTGCCAGCAGGAAGCCCAGGGCAAGGAAGCGCAGTGATCAGTCCACAGGTCAGCCCCCCAGGGCACATAGCTGGGTGGTGAAGGGTGGACCCTGGATCTGGGGTGGGGGTGGGGAGGATAACTAGAAAACACGCAGCAGATATGGCACATTTGTGTGTAGGCAAATAAGTCAAGCCCAAGAAAGATAAGACAACTCTTTGAGGCTTCTCTGGCTCTAAAATTCTCTAACTCCAAATATATTTTGTATTGTCATTTGCTACTTTTCTTTCCAGATCACCCAAGTACTCCCTTAAAAGAATGTATCTAAATCTAGGGTGGGAAATGGGCTTTATCTCACATGTCAATTCCAATCAATGAGTTGTATGGGCCTCCATTGTCTTGTTGAGCATTGGGAGGCCCAACTGGGCTTGGCAAGAATAAGTGCTATACTGATAAGTATGCCCACCATGGGCTCTGGAAGGGCAGGGGCAGAAAAGTCCTCATATTAATATCCGATGAACTAAAGCAAAAGGAGGAATTGAGATAATTATCCAGATAATCTGATTTAAAATAAATTTATCCAGGGCGCCTGGGTGGCTCAGTTGGTTAAGCGACTGCCTTCGGCTCAGGTCATGATCCTGGAGTCCCGGGATCGAGTCCCGCATCGGGCTCCCTGCTCGGCGGGGAGTCTGCTTCTCCCTCTGACCCTCCCCCCTCTCATGTGCTCTCTCTCTCTCTCTCTCATTCTCTCTCTCAAATAAATAAATAAAATAAAATAAATTTATCCAGAATATTCCTTTTAAGTGTGTGTATGTTTATGTGTTTGTGTATAACTTCAATCTATCTAGTACAGAAAAAATTTTATATGAGTACTGCAGACATGATTATCATGTCAGTTTCTAGGAGCATGAACAGTTGATACTTCTGATTTTATCCTACTGATGGTTTTTATGTTCACATGTCCAAATGGCATAGATGATCTTACAAAAGGACTTGTTATCTTTATGTTTACTCTCTAGATCTACATAGTCCAATATGGTAGCCACGAGTCATATGTGGCCATTTTAATTTAATTAAAATTAAATAAAATTAAAACTTCATCTTTTCAGTCACACTAGCCCCATTTCAAATATTCATAGGTGCATATTAGACAGTACAAATATAGAACAGTTCCATCACTACAGAAAGTTCTATTGGAAGGTGTTGCTCTAGAATCCAAGGCTTATTGTTGAACACAGTGAAAATGATGTGTCTGTAAGCATCACTTAGGCATTTTTTATTAAGCTTTTTATTTTAATTCCAGTATAATTAACATAGAGTATTATATTAGTTTCAGGTGTACAATATAGTAATTCAACACTTACATACACCCAGTGCTCATCACAACACGTGTACTCTTTAATCTCCAACACCTATTTCACTACCCCACCCCCCACATCCTCTCTGGTAACCTTCAGTGGGTTTTCTATAGTTAAGAGTTTGATTTTTGATTTGTCTCTCTCTCTTATTCCTCTTTGCTCATTTCTTCTCTTAAGTTCCACATACAAGTAAAATCATATGGTATTTGTCTTTCTCTGATGACTAATTTCACTTAGCATAATACTCTCTAGCTCCATCCACGTCATTGAGAATGGCAAGAGTCCATTCTTTTTAATGGCTGAATAATATTCCATTGTGTATATATACCACTTCTTCTTTATCCATTCATCTATCAGCGAACATTTGGGCTGCTTCCATAATTTAGCTACTGTAAATAATGCTGCAATAAACACAGGAGTGTCTTATCCTTTTGAATTAGTGTTTTTGTATGTTTTGTATTTAAATACCCAGTGTATCACTTAGTCATTTTAATAATCCTGTTATGTACAAGGCAACAAACTAAGTGCT